CTAGTTAATTTTGTGTCCAAGCCTTTCGGGATATCTGGAACACGATCAGATTGCAGATCAATAGTGGTAAATATTCACTTAAATTTCGCATGATTCAATCCACTAGGAAGAGAGTTACGACTGACGAAGCATTTCATAGAAGACATTTGAGCGCTACTGTAAGTCGAAGGCAGCAATGTCACGAAGAAAACAGAATTAAAACAAACGAATATAAACACGAAAAACAAGAAAACCCGACCGATGCTTAGAACGCAAAAAACAACCCTCCTCGATTCGCGGTATCGATCGGTACCTGCCGTCGCGCAAAGCTGCTCCCACCCAACTTCTAAATGTACGGACGTGTCCAACAACTGCGAGCCGGCGCGCAAGTTGTAGTATGAAAGCAGCCTAACATGGTTCGCGCAACGACCCTTCGAAGTCGGCGGCGGAAATTAATGCACACACCAAATATTTTAGGTTACAATGGGCAATAGTACCTAGAGACCGCACTGGAGCGCGGATATGGCCTCTTAATAGTGATAGGGAATGTATTCTTTAACAAGGGGAGGGGNGGGTGAAAAGTAAACGTTGTGCAAAAAGTTGAAATGGTTCAGAATAGCTCTTCAATAATAACTTTAATCGACGCGTGCGGTGCGTCCACGGTGCGCAATCTACTTAGCGCAGTCACACTCCTCAAGTTGAACCCATTCCACTCTTTTCTACATTATCACAACTTTCCCTTGTCCTTCCACTACGTTTACTTCTCACCCACCCCGGAGCTCCTCTCCTTATTGAAAAAATAAATTCCCTATCACTATTAAGAGGCCATGTCCGCGCTCCAGTGCGGTCTCTGGGTACTCTAGAGACGCAGAGCAACGAGACGGAAAGGCGCTGGCACCCCCCAACTACATTTTCACCTGGTTTTAATTTTGTAATATACAATTCACCCACTGTCAAATTCTTACCCAGGCGTAAGGGGCATCGTGGAGACTTCTCATAACATGAGACAGGAAAGAAGAGAGAAAAGTCGCTGTGACGCTGTTTTGGCACACCAACACAAAGGGGATGTCCGACTGCTCCCCGTACGTACGCCTAACATCTCTTTCCCGTTTCGTTCCCTGTCTCAGAGCTCTACGCACTGCATAAATCCCGGTTCCAATTTGCCTTGCTCATTAGTATCAACGTAACGTTTCTGATCTATTTCTTCGAGTGAAATTTCCTTTGTTTCAAAAAATAGGAAGAAAGATGTGTTGGGTTGTGAATTGCTCTGTCTGTGATGTAAAATTTCACTTGCGCTGTTTGTTTATTGTCTTATATCGTTTTTTAAACGAGTTCACTATTCATCTAAAATTTTGATTTTTTTGAGTAGTGATTAATGTCGAAGTATTGTCACAGAACTGACCAAGAGTGATGTCCTTCAATAAGCCGAAGAAGAAAATTCAGTTAAGACGACGCGTTGATGATGAAGCCAGTGATGACGGTCTGTTGCTATGTTGTACATCAATTTATCAATAGAACTATGCAAGCATGACGAGAGTTTAAACTCCCCATTAGTTTTACTGTCGAAGTTTAACTATATAAGTTCGTTTTGTCGCAATCTCTAGCAAAAAAAACAACTAGGAATTGGGAACCTGCATATTAGGGGCTATGGTTTCAACAAAGCTAAATCGTTTGTAGTTCAAGGTAAGTGCTGGAACGGAGAAGGCAGCTGCACTTTCTCCAATTATTCAGAATGTGCCTCTTTTCATTTGAATCGGTAGAATTCGAAGACATGCTAATCGTTAATTATAATAGATTTCCACTATAATGAGTAGTGCTCTTATTGTATCAAGTACTTTAGAAGATACTCGTCGCATAAATGATATCAGAGAGCTGCAAAAAGCCCGTGAGAAGAAGAATGGTCTCACAGAAATCGAATGTGCGGTAGGGAAGGAAAAGGTGTGGAATTTGGTTGTTCAGTAATCCGTTCCTCTTTATGCGGCAGAACTCAACTCACCGCAACAGATACAGTGTTTGTAGGCTGCGGCGTTGGAAGACGGAATACAAATGGCGGGAGGTACTATGGCGCTGACTGGCAAGCAAAAAGCACGCATGGAAGCTGCAGGAATAGAGGCAGGGATCAGGTATGGCTGTTATTTATACCCGCTATTACTTTTCAAACAAGATGATATTGCCATCGGGCCGCACGCACCAGTGTCTCATTTGCAGAAGAGCGACTCAATCGGAATAGATACTGCTGTTTTGAAAATAGTAACGTCCCGCAAGTTCTTTAGGCAAAAACTCAATAATGTATAGGAGCGAAATAATTTTATCAGTTTAGCCCGACAGAAGAATAAGCTGAAGGACCTTGATAGTCTGTATTCATGGTCGTATTTAAATTAAAGTTAGTTTAATCACAAAGAGGAAAAACATGGTAGTAGGGGAAGGATTCCTTCCAACCACAATGTGATCTGTAGATCGTCCGTGATTAACGGCTGCAGTCTGCCATTCATTTCGGCGTTTTTTAAAAAATTGCTGCTTTAGAGGGTAAGGCTCTTTCGCTGTATATATGTCACCCTGTTACTAAAAACTTATTTCTTTCTTTCAGACGAGAACGCACATATGCATAAAGAGCTTATCCTTCTGTAGCAAGATTTCTGTCGGAAGTTTAATTGTGCAAACGCTTAAGTTTTCAAATATAAAAAACGATTGATGGATAACAGTTCAACTGAAATAGCAAAAAATCGATATGAAATTTAGGGAGCAGTTCGAAAAGGAGACATTGTTGCGTGATGAACACGAAGAGCTGAGAAAGTTCATCGATCAAAACTTGCATAACGATTCTGGAGAAGGCAGCAGTGCATCGAAGCAAAATACGTCTGTGGATGTGAGAATTTTGTAATACTTGTGCTAAACCATACCCCGAATGACTCCACGAAGACCACGCCAGCCAAGCAAGTGCCTTCGAACTCATGTAACCGGATGTTGCGTATCAAATCCATTGTCTCAGCTATGGGTGGTAACATACTTAAGGATTTTGTCAAAAAAGTTAAAAAAGATAAACTTAGTTATTCTAGCTTACCTGGACGATTTCGTGAAATATTTAAGTTTAAACACCACTAAGATTCGCATTTTTTAGGAGTCTGATGTTTTAATGCGAGCGGCAAGCAAGCTCAAAGGCTATCGCAGTGAAGCTAGCAATGAACTTCTTTCGGAGCACATGCTGGCAGGCATCCCAGAAGTGGATCTCGGTATCAAGTAAGTTCTTTCGCATTGATTATGCTTCTGCAACGTTGAGGTCGAAGTTTAAATATATGATATTATCAGTGTACGTTAATGTCTCTAGATCTTGAATTCCGGCTGCTGCCGCAAAATCTATCCAAATGTGTAGTACTATGGCTTCCTCTGTATTTGTAGGATGGGTCGAGTTCTGAAGCCTAGGATCTTATAGAGCTGTTGCTCTCAGGTTCACTCCAACCCACAGTCTTACCCTGTAGCTATTACGTGTACGCAAGATAGATCTTATCGATCACTGGCAGGCTTGTTGTTAGGATTCAATCACCCGATCCATCGACTTCGACACTAATGTGCTTTTCCCCTTCAAAACACATTAGAAAGTGCAATGCCCTTCATTTTAACCTGTTCGATCAAAGTAGTTCGAAAGCCTACTGATTTGTAATGATTTTTTAATCCGCATCATAGCTAACCACATGTAGTGGAGCAGAGGTCGGTTATAATCGGTAATCAGGAACAACAATTTCTGTTGTCGCGCCAGAATCAGCCACCAGTGAGTACCAATGCTGTTTCTATTACCGTATGTATTAGCTGAGACCTTGAACATCTTGCTGCTAAAAATAAGGAAGTTAGTGATCTAACTTACACACAACACGCGGTGCAGGTGCAGGTGTCTATTCAGCGTGATAGACGTAATATTTAGATGCATATATGTCGGTAGTATGCCAGTGGACCATACTCCGATATGGCCATTGGCCGACGGACGAAGAGACGACCTGTGACAGAGGTCAGGCACGGGTGAACAACGGTGGCAGCGTCCCAAGTCCTTCTCCAAGTTATATAGATCATGAGCGTCGTGGGTTATGAATGCATTCGAACGCTATTTGTCAGGCGTTCTTCCAAAAGCTGTTAGTTCCGAATCTTTATCGTTGAGAGGATTCATTACAGTTTGCCATCTTCAGGTTTAGGACTTTGATTTGGTGTACCATATTTGAAAAATTCATTTTGTCGTAAGAAACAGGTCAAGAACATGTAAACTTTCATCACTGAGAACGCGCAGATCTTGTCCTTGTTGTAGGAAAGACAAAGTAGGTACTCCACTGCACTCTTTGTATTTAACGCTGTGGGGTAGAGGCAGAGGGGACTCTATCGTTAAGATAACGGGGTCACGCTGCACTCGTTGCGCGCAACATTTTGCCTGGTAAGGAAGATGCGAAATATCAGTGTATCGATTCGAATGATTGGATGCCCTCCGTCCTAGTCCCAGTTATGTATGAGTTGAAACAATGAGAAAGAAAAGAACCGGTGCTCCTCTTGAAATCTTACGGGGTCAAGTAGTTGCGTATTGGCAACAGCAATAAATTCAAGAGCAATGCGTGGTGGGAAACGGGCATTTGGATCGGTTTTGTAAAAGGGTCGCATGTGCAGCGTTGCCCTTCTAACTCGAACGCAAGATCGCAGCACATCCAGTTAGGATGGAGCACGGGCTTTGCGGGTCGGTAGCGACAGTGTAGATTTTAAGCCAGGAATATTGAGTTTGTTGGTAAGCTCCTAGGACAGGTTTCATTAATCTCTACGTAAATCCACCGACTGCTGTGATAATTAACATTTAGTAACGCTTGGCCAACCTTTTTGTTTGGCATTACTGTTTCTGCTGTTCTTTCTCGTGAATGAAGTATTTCTCACTAGTCAATATTCGATGTTAGTTTTCAAAAGGCTTACACGCGCAGAATGCTTCTATAGCTAAGTCAGCTTCTTACTTTTCCAGTTAGCGCCCAACAGCGAATGATTGGCGTTCTGTGGTGAAGATAAAGAGAGCAGAATCAACTTGGCGTTCACCAGTTCCGTTTTGAGAGCGCGCCCTGCATTGACCTCCATTTAGAATTGTTGTGGCATAATGTGTGCGTATGTGGCCTATACGCTGAGTTGAGGAAGCCAACCAATGTACAAGTCAGTGCTTTTAATCTTCTAGACCAGCCTGATAGTAACAAGCGGACTCCGAAGAGATGGAAGGGTTGATCAAGCTGGGCGAGTATCGATTTGGGATACCTGGTAGTGCGCAACTTGCCACTACATTACCACCACGCGTCGTGATATTATGACCAAAATGTTTTCCACTTCACTCCGTGAACGTTGCACACAGTTTCTTATGTATTGCAACCTTTTTCTCCTTCTAGTGTTTATAATGTGTAGTAAGAATATCGAGCTTTCAGCGCTCGGATTTCAAACATCCTGGAGACCGAAAAAAAGAAAAGCGAGTTGTTGGAGCAGGCCTTGGAAAAGGCTCGAAACGCGGCAGCAAATCCACGGAAATTGATGGAAGAGGTAGTATTCGCGTTCTCCCGATTTCGGATTCTTTCACGCACGGTTTTAGAATTGAAGACTTCAAATAATTGAAGAAAATTTTCAGGAACCTGTGCTGAAGCGGTTTGCTCTTTGATAGGCATTCTATATGGCATTTTGTACATATTTGTTGTTTCGAAATAAATTTACTTTGACAATCGCGTTGTGTACGTTGCTAAGAAACTCAGATTAATGGGCTTTTAAACAGTTGTTACTACACGGGGAAACCTGATTCTCTCGTGTGCCAGTGGGATTGCAGCAAATCATGCCGTGATCTCGATATGGCGCTATACTAACTACGAATTGTCGAGGAATCAAACCACACAGTCCATAGTTAATCAATATTCGTTATGTTTCGAAAGGCCAACTTCATTTTTGTGGTCATTTGCTAAATGTGACGTGAGCTACAATACGAGGGAGGACAAAACAAAGCGAAGTGATTGAGTCGGAATGGAGCCGCAGACAGGCTGCAGACAGCGGGTACGTTCATTTTTGCTCGTTCGACACCACCACTGAAATTCCGTCTTATTCCCTCTTCGCCCTTCCCCCGCTCCTTGACAGATGGTCCAGTGACGGGATCAACTACCACGTCACCCATTCGGTACCACTAGTCCCTTTACCACCGTGTCAACTTTTCGATATAACTTCTTTTTGATTCGACTCGATCCCGCAGTATGACGGCCACGACGGACACGGCTTGACTCCACCGAATCGACCGGCTTTTTTCGTCTTTGTCCAATTTCTGTGAATTGATTTTTACTTTGAGTTTCTCATTCGAGTGTGTAGGGGAGTGTGAGAACATGAAGTATGAAGAGTGATCAATGGAGAGTATGGTAGAGGGAGGTTCGGTATGTAAAAGGGGTGTAGGAGTTTGAACACTTCACTCTGTGTTATACAACACAACACAACTGACGCTCGAGATGACATTTGAACTCACGTGGGGAAACCGCAACTCCATGGATCAGGTTGGCCCGAATAAAGATATGGTTCCCAGTCATAGATAAAGCGGTGGGCGACATAGACAAGAAAAGTGGAGCTTGTGCAGTTATGGGTAAGATCCACAGAAAGCCTGGCAGATGTTGCGCATGGATTTTTGTGATTAGGAGTGGAGTCAAATGATTGATGGTGGATGCAAAATCTGGTCAAAATGGTCAAAATGGTGGTCACCACAACAAAAAAACAATGCCAAAGCTGAACGAGGTATTCAGTTGGAATGGGCTACCTGAACAGTATATTTCGGACAACGGGCCACCGTTTAATTCGGCAGAATTCCGGGAATACTGTGAAAAAAAAGAGGGGTCCAGCAAATATTTACTCAATGGGGGAAGGGGAAGGGAAGCGTTTTGTCCAGCCGTTCGAGAATACCTTGTATATGTTCCGATTACAGCACTAGAAAACAGTATCTGACACGATCTTCGAGTAGAGGGTCACACCCCTTGCGGCGACGGGAGAAGCATCAGCAAAAATGCTTATGGAGGGAACATTGCGACGGATCCTGGATATAATGAAAACGAAAAAAAGAAATTGCCTGTAAACAGGGAACAAGAGCGAATGAAAAGATGCATGATCAAGGGGAAAGAGACAGAACTTTTGTAGTAGGGCAAGAAGTGTTAATAAGGAATTATATCGGATCGGGAGACGAATGAATACCCTCACTACGGTTAAAGTTCTATAATCAAGAGTATATGAGGTTCATTTCGGCATGGGAGTAAGCAAAACAGATGGTGGGTGTATATGAGTAAGTTTCGGCATAGGAGTAGGCAAAACAGATGCTGACTAAATGAAAGCTAGGGTGAACGCCATAGGAAGAACTTCCAAGAAAAATGGAGAATAGAGCCCTTGTAATTGGACAAAGAAGTACTGAAGAAATGAGCTCACGACGGCCTAAACGAAAGGGGCAAGAGACCTTTAAATAGAGAATATTGACAAGTGGCAAGCGCAGAGAGTTAGCTGGATAGGGATAATATAGGTGAGAATAACAAAAGCAAGAGATAATGGTCAAGACCTTATGAAAGGGACAAGCAAGAGTACGCATTCTACTTGTGTACTCGATCCCGATACAGCTGGCCCCTCTGGGGAGTGGAGGAGCGGGCCAAGTCGTTGGCTCGCCATTGTGCTCTCTCCCAGTCGACGTAGCCGATCCAGGGGCGGCGACTACGCCGCTGAGGGAATGTGTGGTGGGCCGTATTGCAAAGATTGCACAGAAGTACGTCAAGAAGCTCCCGAAGAAGAGGAAGAAGGACGCAAAGACAAAGCGTCAGCTGTGCTTCAGGAAGCCGGGAGCCGGAGTGGGATCTCCTACGACCAAACTCGATTCCCTCGTGCCCAATGCTCGTGCCGCAGGCGGCGAAGTCAAGCACTACGGGCGCACAGTAAAGATCATGTTTGTCATTCATTAAAGTTTTGTGAGATCGTTGTGATTGGCAGAAGCGCAAAGGAAAGGTAGATGATGAGTGGAACCCCCTCGCGTGTCCACCACAATACTACGAATGACCATACGGTTACTAGGGTACTAGGGTGAGAAGTAGGGGAGTGTGAGAAAGTGAGGAGGTGAAGAATGTAGAGTGATCAATGAAGAGTTCGGTAGAGGGAGGCTGAGTGCATAAAAGTTGTTTAGAAGTATTAGTAAAGCGTTCCTTCTTTCTATGGAGTACAACACAACACAACTGATGTGAGTGCACAGGTGTATGCACGTGTAGCGGGTGGAGATATTTTGGCACTTCTACATAGTTCAATTGGTAATTGCTGTGTCACAGAATGAGGGAAATTGTTTGCTTGCATATCGCAGATGCCACATTATCTTACGAAAATTCTCGTGGTGCCTACAAGAAGCAGTTGTC